GGGGCTAGCCAGAGGTGGTATTTGCCAGTTCTCCGAACTACTCAAAATTTCTGCTACCGGTTCTCAAGAAAATGTCGGAACCTGCTGAATTTCATCCCTGCCCTGGAGGGCTGTTGTCAAGCACAAATTATCAGAAAGACTCAGTTTAAGGCAGCTTCAAACTGTCAGCCAGGCAGACTGCAGAAAACCATTAAAGTGGTTAATATACTGCATATACAGTATATGATCCAAAGTCATGCCTAAAGATTATGGCTATGGTAGCCAGTTTGTTTTCAATCAGAAGGGATTTGAGTAGTAAGTTGTCCTCTTTTCATTGCTAATTCTTCAACAGCTGCTCAGAGCAGACTGAATTCTATTCAGATGTTCAGATCCTGGCATGTAGAAGGAGATTGGTGTTGGCCAATAGAATGAGATTCACTTAAGAGAAGGCTAGCTGGGAAGGTTAAACCTTTCTTTCTTCATACAATGCTCCTGGAAAGAAAAGCAGAACAGTATATTCACGCTGCTGACTTGTCATTAGCTTAATTACAAGCGAGCCGTGATCAGAACTTTGAATGAAAGTAAGAAAAATCCCTACCATGTTCCTCTTCTGAAGAGAATCCTGCATATGATGGAGGCTGTATGAAGCTTAACTGGAGGGAAGTGATGATTTGATAAGTGACATAAGAGGTATTTAAAGGGAATCGATTTTGCAGCAAGAACCGAGTGGAAATTAATTTAATGAAAGAAAAAAAAATGGTTTGAATGATTTGATGGTGAAATGTAAATTAATTAAAAACATGAATTTGGAGTGATTTGTATGAGGAATTGCTTGCTTCCTGCAATTTATTTCATAACTTTGATTCCCATTATGAGATATATTTAATGCAATTACATGTCATTTTTAATATGGTGCAAAATATTTTGGGTGTGTATGGTGGTGGTGGGGAGATCATCTAAGAAGCCCCTCTACTTAGATGGACATCTTAAAGTTCTGTTAATTGAATGTATGGTAAAGCTTCTAAGAATTTAGAAGGTTGAAACTGAAGTCTTTCCTGTAATACGTTTACTAACCTGTTCTGGTTAGTTGCCATAGTGATTCAGTAGTCCTACTCCAACACACACCAAGAAGTAAAGATTGAATGGTGCATTTTGGAGGTGGTCCTTTCCCCAAAAAATGTTTATCTTTCTACTTGAATCAGCAGCATCTGCAGCAATGCCAAACTTTAATTGTAGGAATGCCATGGTTTTTGTATTTACACCAGGATATAAATATATAAGACGCAGCATTTGCATTGTTGTGTCTTCATATAGATCAGGGGTGTCAAATTCAATTTCATTGAGGGCAGCATCAGGGTTGTGTTTGACTTGGGGGGCTGGTGTATGTTTAAAATTGTATTTGTATTTGTATGTCTTATTCTTAAAAAANGCACTGTAATTTTAAAGCAACATTCACCTTTTTGTCCTCCAGTTTAGGTAATGTTCTTTTTTGTTTTGTTTTGTTGTTGTTGTTGTTTTTGCAGTAGACAAGAGGAGAACCAGAATAGGGAAAAGTTAACCATTTGCCTCAGTAAATTATAACTATCAATATTACATATTTTCATTAATTTAAAAAAAATAAAACCTATTGGAGGCTAGTGAAGGAAGTCATTTGGTCAGAGCCAAACAACTATCCGCTCCCAAGCACCTCCCCAACGCACGCGAAGGGAAAACAAAAACAAAAAAAAAGGACTGGTTACAGTCCCAGCCATAACAAAAATATATTTTCTTTGTATTCCATTGTCCCCCAGTTCAGTTGGGGATTTTTGTTTGTTTGTTTTTAAAACCACAAACTACTGTTGCAGATTTCAGGTGTATTCCAGGGAAAATGTTCTGCTAAGAAAGATTCAAAAAATTGTCTTCAGTACAAAACATCTTGCGAAAATAAGTTTTTTTTTTTTGCTCCCAAAATGCTACAATGAATCTTAGCGTATGTCTAGTGTACTCTGTGAAAGATTTGAATTTAAGTCTGAATTATCTGAGCTGAGTCCCAGTTCTGTGGCCCCTGCACCATGGAGCCCTGCCATGCCTGGATTATTAGCAAGCTGGGAAAGCATTGCACTCTGGTCCGAGCTGGCAAAGTGCCCTTGATCCATCGGGTTAGCCTGGGCAGCTACCAGTCCTGGATGTGGGGAGCTGGTCTGTGGGGAGACGTGATGTGGAGAAGGTTGAGGCTGCATCCTAGGGGAAGGGCTGGAGTGGGGTGGCTGGGATTGGGGGCGTGGTGAGGGGACAGGCTGTGGAGAACGAACTTGATTGGTAAGCGACGATGGAATCTGTTGACCTTGTAAGTGTGGGGACTGGGCTTGATTAGGAAGCATGTGTTGCTGAGGACTCATAGGATTTGGCTGCGCTGGGGATCCAATTTGCTGTTGGAGTAACCGCTGTTGGTAAGCCTGCTGCAAATTTGATCCTGTATCTGCACTCATAGCCTGAGGAAGCTGGCTCATCTGTCCCATATTTCCTTGCTGCAACTGCTGCATATGATGCTGCATTCGCTGCTGCTGCTGCTGATATCCAACTCCTTGAGGCTGTTGGAACTGGTTATGATTGGCTATGCCAGGACCTAAATTGGGTCCTGCTCCTTGTTGCTGTTGTTGCTGTTGTTGCTGTTGTTGTTGCTGCTGCTGCTGCTGACGCTGCTGTTCAATCATCTGTCGTCTTAGCAGGAGATCTCGGAACTGGGGAGATATCCCCGAATGATTCATGTTCATTGGCTGTGCCTGAGGATTCATCCCACCCATGGCTTGTTGGGGTGGAGGCTGCTGAGGCGGTGACTGCTGAGGCATGTTAGCCCTCTGAACACCTGCTTGCATTGGATTCATGTTCTGCATGGCTGGATTTGAGTGAACACCTTGTTGTCCTTGCATGACCTGCTGCTGTTGCTGCTGCTGCTGCTGCAGACCTGGCTGGCCCTGAGGCATCCCAGGCTGTCCCGGCATGCCTTGCGGATTCGGGTTACCCGCATACTTGGCAGCTCGCTGCTTAATGAAAGCAGCTAACAACTGAGGGTTTGAATGCAAGATGTTAAGCACCTGCTGCTGCTGCATGGGAGAGCTGGGAGACCTGAGAGTCCGCAGCAGGTTTTGTAAGGCTGCCTGAGGCAGAGAGCTTGGTTTTGATGGAACTGTACCAGGTACCTGACCCATTCCCGGTTGCGGTGACTTATTCATTGGCTGTCCAGATTGGGCCAT